GAAAAATTCGCTTTGCGAAGACCAGTAAGCGTTTCGCTTACCGATCTTCGCAAAACGACCCCCGCCGATCAGCTGTTCGGCGGCCAAAATGGCCGCTGGAAGCCGGGAAATGGCCTAAAATGGCCGCCCGCAGCGTTTTCGCGCCTTCGTTAAGCGAGGCGAGGGCGCGAAAATGGCTGCCGGCCATTACGAAGCTTCACTGAACGGTGAGTATTTGGCCCATTTGGAATGCATTAAACGATCTTTAATGCGTTCCAATGGGTTTTTTTGATCCGTTCAACGATGCTTCAGCATAGCGAAGGTTAATCCAGAGCGGATTAACCTTGCTATGCGAGGCACCACTGTAATTGAAAAATAGCAAGGCACAACAATCTGTTTAAAACACCTCTTAGGCAACCCGTCACTAAGGGAAAGCCTGCCTTCATCTGCTCGTGGAAGGACAGCAAAAAAATGGGACCAGTGTCGTCTCCTATGGGAGGGAGTTCCAGAGTTTGGGAGTGGCAACAGAGAAGGCCCTCTCCTGTGTACCCAACAAATGAACATGTGAAGGTGATGCGACCGAGAGCAAGGCCTCCCCTTAACACCCAGGCAGGTTCATAAGGAAGACACAGTCCTTGAAATAGCTTGAACCCTGGCCAACAGCTTACATTAAATGACAATATTTAAAAACTAAAAACAGTAAGAATACAAATATTTTGAAAGAATTAAACAAATACTGTCTAAAACTGCAAATGAAATCAATTAATTGAAAAATAGCAAGGCACAACAATCCGTTTAAAAACACCTCTTAGGCAATCCGTCACTAAGGGAAAGCCTGCCTTCATCTGCTCGTGGAAGGACAGCAAAAAAATGGGACCAGTGTCGTCTCCTATGGGAGGGAGTTCCAGAGTTTGGGAGTGGCAACAGAGAAGGCCCTCTCCTGTGTACCCAACAAATGAACATGTGAAGGTGATGCGACCGAGAGCAAGGCCTCCCCTTAACACCCAGGCAGGTTCATAAGGAAGACACAGTCCTTGAAATAGCTTGAACCCTGGCCATTTGGGGCTTTATAGGTTAAAACCAGCACTTTGAATTGTGCCTGGAAATGAATCGACAGCCGGTGGAGCTGCTGTAACAGGGGGAATTATATGTTCCCTATCACCAGCGCCAGTCAGCAATCTGGCTGCAGTGTTTTCGGCTGGCTAAAGTTTCTGAACACTTTCCAAAGGCAGCCCCATGTAGAGTGCATTACAGTGATTACGCTGTGTTGCATCCAGATAAATCTCCAGTTTTTCTGTCTTTCACGTCATACGTTCACATTTCTAGTTTGAGGTTGCTCTTGCGCTGTGTTGCGTCCAGATAAATCTCCAGTTTTTTCAACCACACTATGATTTTATCCCTGATGTTGAGCATCGGACAACTATTAGTATTCATCAGTATTGCACACTGCCACATTTTAAATTATACATTCTAACCCCTTGATCTTCTTATCCATTACATTTGCTATTCTGTATGTGACATGTGAACCACCTCTCTCTCTCTTTACTGTATTTACAGTATGTATACACGTATACGTTTGTACCTATGTATGCACATCTCACCTTCAAGTACCTGGAAAGACACAATGACCCAGACAATCCTATGGAATGCATATGGTCCCAATCCACCAGCAGTCTACATTGTTCTAACCACAATTTTTCTTTGTTGTCCTTATTTTTGTTTCTGATATTCTTTATAATGTGTTTGTCCATTTAGTCTCTCTTCTATAGTTCAAATAGTTTTTCTGTCTTTCACGTCATATGTTCACATTTCTAGTTTGAGGTTGCTCTTGGCCTACTATTTAATTGCCCATCACATAAACTGCTCTCCATAAAATTATTCTTCGCTATAAATTCCTGAGTTAGTTGATTAGGTGTTTTTGAGGAATAAGCCATGTCAACTGAAACACTAGATTTAATTTGAAAGTGGTGTTTTTAATAAATTCTTTTCTCCTTTCCCTGCAACCTGTCATGGAATGGTGTCTGACTAGTTCCATAATTTGAGAAGAATTACAAAATTCCTGTTTTTTTACCCTCAGATGACATTTACCGTGGGAGGAGTACCTATAAAGAACCAGACCGTCTATCTTACTGTTGACATCAATCATGTGGATACACACCTTTCATATGTCACAGATGAGAATGGTGAAGTTAATTTCTCCTTAGACACAACAAAATGGAAGAACACTGAAGTTGCTTTGCGGGTGAGTCATAGAAACAATGACAAAGAAAACATGTCAGATTTGCAAAAGGTTTGCACCAAAAGAAGTTACACGTCACAACTGCAATCAATAAGCATTTGGACTAGTGGATCATACAGCATTGCAAGATATGGCTGAGATACATTGTGCTGTAGTAGTTGTTTTGATCAGTATTAACAATGCAGCTTCAGGTTAGTATTGGATAACCAAAAAATACATAATATGGCAGTATTGTTGCAAATGTTTATAAAATCTACAGATGAGCTACACATGAATCTGTGGTATAATAGGCAAAAGTAATGTAACATTCAAGAATTACTAGGGATGTGCCCAATGAAAAATCCTGCATTTCCTTCCTCTCAGGCTTCTTCAAGCGCTAGGATTAGTTCTTTCATTTTTCTATTTTTCATGTAATGGCTCTTTCATTTTATATGAAGGGGAATGCCTCTTTGGGGTTTCTCATTCATGTTTCCCCATTCTGTTTCCTGGCATTCCAAAAGCCATTAAAAAAACCTCCTGTAAAACCTGCTTTTAGGAGACAAGGTGACAGAGAATGGGGGCATGGTGTGCTGCCATGGAAGATGTCAGCATAAGAGATCTGCTCCTCTCTCAGCCTCCTTATAATATAACTAATAAATGTGAAACCTGGCAAATACAGAAGTAAAATTTGCCAATTAATACAGAAATGAGGAGATCAAAGAAGATGGGATGAGAAAGTTGACTGGATACCTCTTCAGAAGCAGAAGATCAAAGTGATTTGGTGGGGTCTTTGGAGGACACTAGTGATAAAATGATTTCCATCCATTTTGAAGGAAATCAACCCTCAGTGCTCACTGGAAAGACAGATCCTGAAGCTGAGGCTCCAATACTTTGGCCATTTAATGAGAAGAGAAGACTCCCTGGAAAAG